CCGCTAAAATTAGTTACCTTAACAGCGATGCATCGGTTCATGCCTCTCCTTGGGATCAAAGGCACCTCAGTGGGAGTGACTCTGACAGCTGGAGAGGTCACCTAGGAAGTTCCTGCTCATCTGCTCCAGGGTCAGATCTTTCCCGTGGCAAGGTCTGGACCCAGCAGTTGGTAGCAGGCACTTTTTGCCTTCAAGGAAGTTCTGACATGGATGCAGTGATCTGCTAAGAAATTGGCAGCAGCAGGACTGGGGTCTTAGGTCTGCACTGTACATCCCCTTCAGTTGGACTATGTAGGAAAACGTGAGAACCAACTTTGACTTCCTGAATTAATTTTAATATTTCTTGTCAGTCTTGCAGCACACAACTGTCTATCCTTTCAGACTGAAACTCAGCATAGATTGACAAGCCATGGAAAGTGCTAATCTGCAGGAGAAAAATGTTAAGACTACTTATCAGAAATAAAATACATGAAACATTCATCTCAACAGGATTAGGCAAATTACAACAAGCTTAAAAGTCCTTGTACCTTTTATCTCTATGTTGCTTTGCTCTCCGTCTCCTACGTATCCCACTTATGGCACCTGACTATGTTGCCTTGTACCTCTCTCAGGAAACATAAGCTTAAAAGTCCTTGTACCTTTTATCTCTATGTTGCTTTGCTCTCCGTCTCCTACGTATCCCACTTATGGCACCTGACTTAATGTTGCCTTGTACCTCTCTCAGGAAACATGAACCAAATCAGTGTTCAGTGAACCCATGGAAGGCCTCTTACTGATTCGTAGTTTCAGTGAGGTCCATCATTGCATAAATAAGTGAGAGTGTCAGCTAGCTGACACTATCCTGACATTCAGGATACTGCAGGCTAAGGGCTAGTATGGAAGGTTTATTAGTTAGATCATATATTCACTTACTAGCTTGTTCTGTTACCACAAGTTCCTCTATCCAATCCCTTAAATAGAATAACCATTCCTCAGTAATGAATAAAGTTGGTAGAGTTTCAGATCTCACAGTAAAAAATTAACTGTTATCAGTGTTACAATATTTAGCATCTGCTGCAAGTCACTCACGGCTAGTTATCAGCTCTTCTATGGCTCCCTAATGATTTTCTTAGGGAGGGAGAGGCAAGGATGAACTACATTCGATCCACAGTGAGATGATTTAGCTCATGCTGGCAGGCAGATCTGGCAAATGTTTCTCTTGAGTGACATTTTTGATGGACATTGCTGCAATGACACTTGCCAGAGCAGCATCTGTAAAAGCGTAAGGGATGAGCACATCTATACCCGTATTCTGTGCAGGCCAGCTGAAAAAAGCTGTAAGGAAGAACTTACCAGACATTACTGTTTGCAAACAGCCATTTTGGAGGATTAATAGCTCCTGTAGCCTGAATAAAATGGCATAGCTGTTTTTTTTTCCACTGGAAAATAACTTTCCTAACAGACCCGAAATCAGAAGGCAGAAGATCTGTTCAGAATTTTTCAGGCATTATTCTAATTTCAGTGAATGTTCCACTTCGAAATCAAAGGTATGAACAGCATCATTTCCAGGGTGTTTTGGCCAAAATACACCTGCATATATTTGATAGGTAGGGCCTAGAGTCCTTCCACGCACAACATACCTCAAAAACCACAGTCAGAAATTTTTATTCACATTCACAAGTACGTATTCCCAAAATACTGTATGTGCAGTGATTTGTGGAAGATCCAAGGAAATATCCATCATATCCTCAGCTGATATAAACCAGCATAACTCCAGTGAAATAAATAAAACCAACTTCTAACAGATTCAGCTAATAATTTCTTAAATGAACTGTATGAGATTGCCTCTGTGCAGTTCATTTCTAAGGGACAAGAAAGATGACACAATGATGTCTCATTTTTAATAGGCTACAAAATGAACCCTAAGCACCTATCAAAATTATTAAACAGTGATGACTTAAATCTCAGCAGCTGACCTCATTCTGCGATTCAGGTATGGTTACCTGCCTGCTCAGTTACTTAAATTTTCATTGAATAATCATTTTGGTTGACACCGATTCCATTGTATTTTATTATTCTAGACTCACCATTCACTTGAAGAAAGAAGCTGAAAAATTGACTATTCATGTCAAGACTTATGGAGTGATGTTACTAAGTGTTTTGTTAACTAAACGCATATCAAGACTTAGAGTTATGGTGACAATTCTTAGTTTTCCTGAGATAGCTGGAAATTAAAAGAATGCAGAATCTGGAGACGTTTATGACCTTTTCACTAAACATTAATTAGACATGAAAAACCATTTTCTACATACTGATTTACAGTTACCTAAAGATTCAGGCTTGAAAATAGGGATAATTCTTAAAGTGTCTTTCAGAAACATACTAATTGTTCTTTCTCAAATCAGCTTGAGTAATCATACACTAACAGTTCCTTGGTGGGCAGTTTTCTACCCTGAACACATTGCTGATTTGTAATCTACTTTTGTATCTCCATACAGTTAAATGCCGTAAGAAGTTTTTCTGTTTACATCCAAAGTTGTAGTGACTTTGGGATCTTAAAACACACAGTAGGACAGCTATCCATCAGGAATGCCTAGCATGGCCTGGAGAAGAGGAAAATATCATGGGCAAAAACCAGTAACACATCCGTCCCCCAAAAACCAAGCGCAATCTTACACAACTGGTAGCTTTTGGAGTAGATCTGACCAGTGAGAGAAATCCCACCAACATGCCATATCCACATGGAAGGAAATGGTGAAGTTGGAGAATGCCTTGTCCAGTGCGCCCATTTAGCTAGGTAATTGGGGTCCCAAATTATCACCATTTCCACTAATACCTTGTATCCTGGGTATTAGAACGGCTGAACTACTGTTTATGACTGTTACTCAGGGTGAGGTGCATTAATAAGGCTCAGAGTAAAAGGGCATTAGAAATCAAGAAACCTGATTTTTATTCTTTGCATTTGTCAGAGGTCCAAACAAGAGGGTTATTCTGTACTCAGTCTACTAAATGGACTTAGAAAGAATTACCGTTCCCTAGTTGTGAATGATTGATTACTCTCCTTGATTTCTAATTTTGCCTGAGTAAATATTTCAGGTTCTGGTCTTCAAGTTGTAAAATAAATCATAATATAATTATACCTTGCCAGTGTTTCAGAGGAAAAAAGTGCATGAATTTATTATTTCTGATATGCAGTCTTATAATAGCAGAAGCCTGAGGTTTACCAGCAAGACAAACAAATTAACTTATTTTATTCGTGCATTTCATTCCAGATTTAAATGGCTAAACTCAGAATTTAAAACCGACCTACTTCATTCTGGAAGATGAGCAGGCTAGTGCTTATAGACACAAGGATCATGCAGCAGGACAAGCCCTCATACGTTTGGAAGGCAGCTAGTTTCAAGCTACCAAATACATCAAGCCAAACAGTGTGCACTGAAGCATTGTATCTACTGTCAATGGATATAAATTGCTTTATTTTACATAATGAAAGTGCAATTTGTAAAGCCAGTGTTTGGAACTCGAGATAGTGAATTTATGTTGTAAGCTACCTGATTTTTGGTTGTAAAGGTAAAAACCTGTCTAGAGAGGATGGAAGTCAAAGGCTGAGATTCACTCAAATTCCAGAGCTAGATTGCCATGACAGATTGGACATAAACTGTGTGACAGAAGAGAAAAACACTTAATCGTATGTGATAATTCTGTATGTTTGTAGTTGGGAGTGTAATTTCCTTGCAACTCATCACTGTCTAGCTCCAGAGATGCCTGCCTCTTCCTTTCCTTTTCTTAGGCACATAGGTAATAACTCTCCTCCAGTGCATAAATAGGAGTTGGCCTCAGTCAGCATGCAGAAGCAGAAAAGTGCAATTTGGAAAGGCTGAATTAGCTCAAACACTTTTGATTTACCCAAGTAAAAGCATGAAGAATTGATCCTGAATTCATCCTCAGGTGCAAGAGGCAGACACTTCTCTTGGACATTTTCCTACCCACCCTGTTGCTAGAAAAACTGGGCCTTATTCAACAGCCATGATGGATAATAATCTAGTTATTTGAATTAATGCATACTCACTCAGCCAGAACAGGACTCTGCTTGGCAGTAATCATGACCCAGACCCATAACAGCACTTAATGTCTCCAGTCATCTAAATCTACTGTGATAAATGGAGTATTTCAGTGGATCCCTAATGATTTCTATTATGAGAGTATAAAAGGCAGAGACCTGAAAAACCTAAATCACACATCTTATTGCTATTTGAATGATAATAGCTCTGCTGCCTGTTTGCCTGGCAGGCAGCGTTGAGTCGCATAGAGTAGAAAGTGGCAAGCTCTCACTGCATTTCTTTTCTCTAACCCATTTTAATCAAGCAACACTTGATCTGGGAGACATTCATGTTACATCTCGCATATTATCAGAAAGCAAAGGGAACTGCAGCTTGAAGAAGCTGGAGTCCATGCTTGCTCTGGACAGCAGGCAGTCTCTCAATATGGATTACTTTTGAAAAGTTCTGAATTATCTACCAATATCTTTTTTAGCAATGGAAACTCATTTTAACCACTCTGCTTCCTAATCTCATTGCAATTGTAGCATTCAAGAATGAGAGAGTCTCAAATTACATTAAACTCATCAGGAGACACTCTGGGAAATGCTATGTTTTAAACATCAGATAACAACCATCAGAACAATGGACTGTACTAACTAGATAAGGAAAAGAGACTTAATTTCAAATTACCTGATTTAAAAAGACACTCAGCTGTAGTCTTCCCATAATCACCAGACTAATTCTTCAAGGACTCAGCTCAGTTAAAGCATGTCATCTACCTAGTGTGATTCCTGCAGTACTTTATTTCTTGCTCATTTCAAAGATATGGGATTGTTAGAGCAGCTCTGAGAGATTTTTATTACCTACCATCGATGCTTCAGGAGGGGAAGGTATGCTAAAGATTAGGGGTGTGGAGCCCACATCCTTCACAAACACAAGAGATTGAATATCTCAGTTGATGCAAGGCAGGGGCACGCCGGCATGACTGTTGTGGGAGAGAAGGTGAACTCTTGCCTCTGTGCTGCAGGGAGTCTCATTTCTAGCTGCACTTATCAGAAGACATTACCTGGTGTGGGCAAGATCAAGAAGATCATGCTGATCATAACAACAGATCTTGCTCTGCACTGGCATTGGCTCGACTGAAAAGTCCCGGAAGGAAGACAAAAGTTTAGGAAAAGCATGATCTCTCAAAAAAAATAGGATCCACATGCATTCAAAGCTCTAAAGGTCGAGTCTAATATCTGTTATACGAATATCTAAATTCAGATATAAAATGTTTGGCCAAATCCAGATATATGGTGAAAACACTCCAGAGTTTTGGCTTAGGTTGCATCCAATTTGAAAATGCATATACTTAAAAATAACCTTTCGCAAAAGTAAAGGAAAAAGAAGAAAATCCCCAACAATACTGATTTTGAATGCAATGAATTTCAAAGAACTACACAGTCGTGTACTGAGAGATTGAAATTGACTGACAGTGGGTTGAAAACGGAACCTAAGAAGCACACTGATGGAGCAGAGGCTTCATGACAAGCTCTTGCTCACAGCTGAGTTTCTCTCTGAATGCCTAATCCACTGTAGTGTACTCTGAAAAATTCCTACTCACCCAAGGCTTTTAAAACTCAAATGATCTCTGAAACTGGTGATTGGCCTCCATATTCAAATGATTACCCAAATATCAATCCAATTCTCTCCTGTTTGCTTCAAAACTTCCTGTTTTGACAAAGACTGCCAATTTCAGAGCACCAACAATGATGTAGCGATTGTCATCATCTAAACTATAAATAGAATTGCTCAGGTGGTGGTCAGACTGCTACAGTCATTCTGGATTAGAAGACTGCTATGATTCACTATGGATATCTGTTCAACTAATTAAAAGTTCTATAGAATGTATCTACACGGATTTAAAGCTAATTAGCGACTGACGTGTGAATGGGTTTAACCTGAGGTTAACATTAAATGAAAACCAAAGGTAAACGACACGGCATTTGAATGGACAGTAACGCCAAGAAATAAAAGTTTACTACACAGAAAAGGAATTTTAGAACAAAATCTTCTATTAAAAAGCTATTGACTATTCAAGGATATTAAAAAAAGATTTCATACAAGCCACTGCTGGGTAATGCAATTTTGTAGAAAAGCCACAGTGAATTGAAGGAGTTCATATAATGGTCAATGGAACATTAAAATAATGAAATTGTGACGCCGCAAGATCTTTTAAAGCATATGATTGGGATATAGCAATCCAATTATCTGGTTCATCATCTGATATTATTGGGGAAAGTAGCTAAGAACATTTCAGAGAGTGGGTTAGATGCTGTGAAACCTTGAGGGCTTTCAAAAAAAGGCCAGGGTGTGGAAATGCATCCCTTAGTCTTTGCAGCAAGTCAGAATGCTGAAAATAACATAGTTGGGGTGACACTGAAACTCTTACATGCACGGAAGGATGCGAAATAGATGAAGATCCCTAATGATTTCCTTAATGATTTCCTGAGGACTTGACATTCTGTAAAAGCACTAGAAAACCCACAAGGATGAGGATACCTCTTTAGCAACAACCATCAATAAAAGCATGTAGAATAAATAATAAATGCTAGATCCTATAAGCAAACAGACATTCAGAAGTCTCGTTTTCCCTTATGGAAACTATTAACATAATAAAATAATCACATTACACAAGCAGAATTTGGCAGAGAACTTGACATTCTGTAAAAGCACTAGAAAACCCACAAGGATGAGGATACCTCTTTAGCAACAACCATCAATAAAAGCATGTAGAATAAATAATAAATGCTAGATCCTATAAGCAAACAGACATTCAGAAGTCTCGTTTTCCCTTATGGAAACTATTAACATAATAAAATAATCACATTACACAAGCAGAATTTGGCAAACATGCCTGCTACAGAGACCAATCCTATTGACTGCAGAGGATTCCCAAGATGAGACACTTACAAATGTATTCCTCCCCATGTTAGTATTCAGGAACACTCTGGTAACAAAAGGCTTTATACTAGCTGAATCTGAGGCCCATGATACTCAGCACAAATTTTGCTATTGAATGAAGGCTCCTTTTACAGAATATCCCATTGAAGAGAAAAATTTTGTCGCAAACTGATGACTTTATTACCATTGAAAGCAGTCTTTTAATAACAAGAAAGAGTTTTTACGACAACAGGTTTCTAGTTCACAACCCAGGCTACTCAAGTGCTAGAGGAAAATGACTTCTCCACTCAATGTTTATGAGAGAAAACAGAGCCATGATTCAAATACTGAGAAAAAGGAATTTCATGACAACAACCAGAACTATCTATGCTTTCTTGAAAGAGGAAGTTTGGAACATTATTTCATCCTTCTTGGTTTTCTTGCTTTGTTAGTAAAGCACCAATGTTAACTCTACCATACTAGTCACTTCTATTTAGCTTTGTATTTAAGATAAGACTTATCACCTCATTTACACATCTGTGGCTAGCATTGACAAAATTTCTTCCTTTTCAATGCACATGCAAAGTCTGCAGCAAGCAGCATTGATCATTCTATTATCACTCTGTTATGCTTAATTTCCTCTTCATCTTTCAAGTCAAACTCCATCTCAGACTACATCAATAGTAGTGGCAACACACTGACTGATTACCCTTGCCTTTGGCAGGCATGCATGCTGCAGGTACATTGTAAGATTGCTTTTGTGTTACCCCAGCACAACTGAGCTCTCCTAAACTATTCAAAGAATCAAATTAACAAGTGCATTGCAATCTTTAAGCACTTTGATATGACTTTGTAACAAGCAATTAACTGATGCAGCCAGACACTTTGATAAAGCACTAGAAATCTCTGCCAAGAGGACTCTGCGGCAAGCATAAACCAGCTTCAACATCCACCTGGGCAGCTCCTTACCTCAGTTCTGCACCAGACAGTAACAGGCAGGGCTCAGGTGATCTTACCCTTTCCTAGTCAAGCAAAGGAGGCAGCATGGCTGCAGTATGGAAAAGCAGGGATAGTCATTCAGTATTCTCCACTTTGAATAAAGGAAGGCAGAGCAGAAAATTAAACGCAAGAAACCTTGTGAAATGAAGCAACTCCTTCATCCTTCTAGAGCAAAGGAGCTTTTGGGAAGGAATGTCCCTAGAGTTCCTCCTGACGGTAGCAGTAATTTTCTGATTAAACCAATGGTTGCCATTGGCTTTGATTTAAAGGGCGAAAGAAGTGCTTTTCCCCTTCCTCTTCCTTCTCCTTTCCAGATCCTGCCAAACCACCAGCACTTGCCTCGTCCATAGCCCAGCCAAAGGGTCCCATTGTCCTATCGCCCCAGAAGTTAAACTACTGAACACAGTGGACATTGGGATTATAAGAAATGCCAATTAAAAAAAAAAACCCTCATCAGTCCATCTTTTCTGATACCTGAAGATCCTTTGAACATTTGGCATTTCCAAACATACCCAGGATGTTATCAGTAACTTGATTTCATAGTTTATCAACAGAGTATCTTGCAAACTGTCCTGCATAACAGCAGTCCATAGATATGCAACTCTGCAAGCAGAACAGGAGGTCAGAAGCAAAATCTGGTGACCCTTCTCTTGCTTTGTGAAGCTTTGTCCTTTTACATTTAGCTGTGCTGGCTAAGGCCCAAAGCAGTGGAAGTTTGCTTCCCACAGAAGGACAGGTATTACCTGCAGATGCTGCTTTCAAACCTGTGTTGTAATCTGCAAGCCAGTGGCAAGTAAGGGAAACGGCTCTATTCCAAGATCAACCAACTCAAACAAGAATATTCCGCAAGTTCCTTGCCACCAGAGCAGAACCCTCACTTGCAGACTGTAATAAAGAAATGTCCTTTTTAATTGCCTTCATTTTTTAACATTTTTAGAACATTTTAACCAATTTTCTCAAGGCATCAGTACCTAATAATTGTGGTATTCCTCAGATTAGTACATGTAAAAATGCAATGCCCAAATTGCTAACAGTACTTCATCCATCATTTACCACCCTAAGTGCATCTCTCCGGTGCCTGCCTTTTCTTTATCTGGCCTATCTCCATACTATACAAACAAGTTACAAAAGCATTTGAGAAAATTAATTAACAAGAGAACTTTTGCTCCATTTTTTCTGACAAGGTCAATTTAGTAATTTGCAGAAATAATTACAGGTGCTCTGAGACTACTACTGTTTGTGTTCCCCAGACACTACCAGTGCAGATCTGAACAGAAGTGGTAACTAAAACAGTCAGCATACATTATTAACTCTGCACTAGTTTAATTTCAATGGTCTTTGACTATGGAAAATGCAGGAAAATAACCACTAGCTTTAGATGGAGTTCTATTCATGGCTGGCTGAATAATGAAACCACAATGTGCACAAATAACATGTTGACAAGTATTGATTTGCAAGTATTTATCACACTGTTTCTAGGATTGTTTTCCAGTTCCAATTTATTTTCAAAATGTGACTCCTCTCAGTTTCCATCTTCCTCTTAGTTACATGACTATGCGTTACTGACCCTGCTCAAGTTATGTATTTTGACATCTGAAAGTAGGAAACTTATAGTATATAACCTTAACTCTTCCCCTGGCAGTCATGCATGCACACACCATTTTTGAAACAATACATCGCTTGAAGTTTTTCAGCCTTACAGCAGGAAAATGAAAGATGACCTCTTCATGTTCCTTTCAGGTTATGCTTCTAATGGATTTCTTCTACAGCTTAAGATACAGTAAAAGCGTTTCTAAGATAATGTAACCAGAATTATAACAGTTGAATTTTACTGCCATGCAATTAGGGTGCTGTTAAAGTTTAATTTCATTTCTTCTTAAACTTGCTGGTTGTTTCTTCCAAATGGGTTATGACTCTATGATCTTTTCAATAACCTTCTGCTTGGCATAGCCTTCACATTTTTGCACGGAGCTAGTCAAAACTATATTCATGCAACAGGAGATTATAGCAGTAGTCCTGCATACACTTTTATAGCTTGATACTGTACCTTGTTATGCATTTTACTGCATACATAAGCG